GAGAAGGAGATTGGAAAGGACTTGTTGACCAAGCTCAATCTCTCCAAATTCCAGCTCAAGATTCTTGGTCTTTTGGTTACTTCTTTTGAAAATGTCATTGCCTTGGACGCAGACAACATGCCTTTGATCAACCCCGACAAATTGATCCTGTCGCCAGAATACCTCAAAACGAAGTTTCTTCTTTGGCCTGATCTCTGGCAGCGTACTGTCTCACCAACATATTACGACATTGCCAGACTAGACCCTGGCATGCCTGTCAGAAGACATGGTATTCCAAATAGCGAGGACGCCAGGGACTACTTCGCTAGAGATCCTACCATTGTGCATCTCCACGATCGTGAAGGCATTCCTAATGCCGTTTCCACCGAAACGGGCCAGATGGTCTTCAACAAGAGAGAGCATTTCAGATCCCTTTACTTGTCTCTTTATTACAACGTCTATGGCGCTACCCACTACTGGAGAATGTTCTACCAGGGAAGCCCCGGTGACGGTGACAGAGACACATTTGTCCCTGCCCTCCACGTCTTTGACGAGCCCTACCATGTTGTGGAAAGAGCCACCTGGTTGGCTGGCTTCCATGAAAAAAGCGGTCGTTTCCAGGAAACCACTATCGTTCAATACGACCCCACCACATCTGCTGGCTTCGTCCGCCAATGGAAGAGATTCTTGGCCGGCCGTGGGATCGATACCAGACTTGCGTTTGATCAGAATAATGATCACACAAAGAATCTTCTTAAGCAGTTCCAAAAGGAACTAGGAGAAGCAATGCCCGCTTTGCCTGAAGTGATGTTCCTCCATGTCCACAGACCAAAGATCAACCCTATTTTGGAAACCGATCCAAAGGGTTATTTCAACTGTTTTGAGCAGAGAAATTTGGGCAAGCCCGGTGTCTACAGTGATCACTATGGAGCTACAGATTGGGAACTCCGGTTCAATCTTATTTCTCGCTGGGCCGCCTGCAAGGGTCTAGGAAGTCCAGATTGGTGGAAATCGGTCCACCGTGACCAGACTGAGGTTTGTCAAAAAGTGTCCGATTACGTGAAGTTCTTGGAGAAAGATTCCAAGGATCCCAAGGCTCACAAGTTCGAGCATATCGAGATTGATTTCTAGATCAATTGGTTGCATATTTTAGCATGGCTCTTATACCTATAAATATTTATATCTATTATGCCTGTGACCTATTCCTCCTCCGATTCAGATCCCAGAGATCCATCAGAATCTTCGGATCCGTCAGACTCTTCTCCTGATTGCTGTGCAGCTTCATCAGCTGTAGCATTGATCTCCTCTAAAGAGACTTCATATCCTTGTTTTTGCAAGAACTCCTGGAAGCCTGGTGCAGTTGTGGTTGGAAGACAGGAGAATAAAAGCGAATGCTTTGGCTCGAAGAGCGGAACAAAGTACTTCTTCAAAACCTCCAACAAGTCCTCTTTTGTAACAGAGCCAAGACTCTTCAAGAAGTCTCTGGCGTAATTTGGACCTCTCTTCTTGAAAATATTGTCCAACACCTTGTTCACGGCGGCATCGTGATTGTTGGATTCGGCCTTCACAAGTGAATTCACAATACCAGCCACAGCGTTGTCAATAGCAATTTGGTCAATCTCAGCTTCTCCAGAGGCATGTTCGTGCACGATCTTCTTGGTTGTTTCCCATGCCTGTTGAGCGTCAGCACCTCTATAAATGACAAACGTAAGGAATCCAGACTCCACCATTCTTCTGATTGCTGCGTCATAAGCAAGACCTGAACCTCTAACTCCTCTCCACAAAGGACCCTCCATGGCAGTCAAGATTTCACTGGCCAAGGCTATTCTGGCAATATCGATATCGGAATAGTCTGTAGGAATTGGTGTCATGGCAATCAAGTGAGTTGTTTCACTTGCTGGGGTGGTGACCAAAAATGCCTGGCCTGAACAACGCTGGCCAATTTCAGATTTAAACTGGAACGATCTGGGCACCTTTTGGAGATCCAAGTTAGCCTCAGACTTGGCACCATTGAACTCCTTAACAAACTTAGACCACGAAGAGATGGGTTTCTCGAGGCTGGAGCAGCCACCAGTCAAGAAAAGCTTCATGTTGTTGACATTGAAGAGTTTCTCCTTGATTGCATCGATATCGGCAACAATCTCGGCAAATTTACCGTCCTCAATTTTTTGCATCAACTCTCTGTAGAATCCCTCAGTGTGGATGGAATCCTGGGCCTTTCTCAAAGAGGTTTCCTTGTAAACTGTTCTATATTGCGACGAGTACATCATCAACTCGTCGTTTCTCTTTTTGTCTGGAAGAGAATTTATGAGCTTCTCGATAATCACCCTCACTCTGGATTCCTCAAAGACAGAGTACTTGAGGACGTTTATCAACCAGTCGATAGCCTTCTCATACTTTCCAACTTCGAATTTGATAGTCACCGTAATGAGCTCAACAAACTGGCTGTCAAATCCATTGTCCAAGTCAAAATCAAGCAAGTCGTTATTGAGCTCAGTGATGACCTCTTCGTAAGGCAAATATGTGCCATCAGGCTTTTTGATGGAAACAGAAAAGATATCCTCGACGAGTGAAAAGTATCTCAAGAGCTCAGGAGGAACAACAGCTGACGAAAAGACCAACTGAGCGGTGACAAATTGAGATTTGTAGTCTTCCAAGTGGACATACAATGGGAAGTCTTCGGGTGTATCCTTTTGAATGCGCTCGTGCAATGGACCATCATTCTTGTAAAATGTAAGCTTGGAGTCGTTCTGACCTGCTTTATATGAGTCGGTCTCAATGAAGTCAATCTTTGAAGCATCGGGTTTGCCAAACTGGGTGAGAACATCGTCTGGAATTGGTGCATCATTCTTTGCTTGAGCGTCGTCAAGTGTTTTTTGCAACTTCGTGAGGCCTTCTTCGCCATATTCTTCCCTTATGGTTTTGTTACGCTTTCTGTTGTCAGCCTTGTTGTCCTTGATAGCCTGGGGAGAAGGCTTTCCAATAATCGTAACGGGCTTGCTTTCGATAAAATTGGTTTTGATGAAGTCACACCACTGCTTGGCAGTCCACGTAGCCAACTCGTCCTGCTCCTTCAAACTCTTGGACCATTTGCTCAAATCGGATCCATCATGATTACCGTAAATCACTTCCAGTATAGCCAAGTTGGACAAGGTGAGCGGGGATCCTTCAGTCTTGGAGATGAACTTGATCTTCTGCTGCGCCACAAGCTGTCTCATATACGTAAGGTCAAAATTCTCCTCGTGTGTGATACTCTCCAAGAGCTCCTTGATCTTCTTGTCCACATTGTACAATTCACCAACAGGGACACCACCGACATAGAAGTTCACGCCAATACGGAGGAAGTCATCGGTAATGATATCAATATCCGTAGCTGACGGGTTTTCAACCTCGACCAAGTGCTTGTTCAACAATGAAATAGGCAGCTCTGCCAAGTAGCACCCGACCATATCGAGAGCCAAAACAGCCAAAGTGTCCTCTGCATTTGGCCCAATCCAGCCAATAAGGAGCTCACCCATAGACTCATCGTCATCTGGAAACAGCACCTCTTTGATCACTTCCTTTGTAAGTGGAAGGTCGACCTTGGAATCGAGCCATGGTCTCTTGTGCGGCGTCTCTGGCAAAGAAGGAAGACCAGCATCGAAGGCTTCCATGGTTTCAAGAAGCTCTTTCTCGTCAACGGATCCTGTGATAATCACACCCACGTTGTCTGGACGATACATGGCCTTGTGGAAGTCTCTGATCTGGTCCCAGGTCAAGTGACGCAATTCAGACATAAGTCCGCCTGTTTCCGACGAGTAGCCCGAGTCCTTCGAGTATAATGCCCTGTAATATTCAAGATAAAGCACAAACCACGACTGACTTTCGATACCTTGCATCTCACTGAAGACCACACCCTTCTCTTTACCCTTACCGTCAATGTGGTACACTTCCGTAAGGCAGGCTTCGTCGTTGATGATAGGATTGAATACATGGTCCAAATAAATAGGCAAAAGTTTCTGGAAACCCTCCCAGCCGGCGGTTGTAAGCGTGTACACCGTTCTATCTATGGCTGTCCAGGCATTGGTGTATGAGAAGAACCTCTGTCCCAAACTGTCTAGCAAGCCCTTGTACGGGTACTTCTTGGATCCCATGAACACAAGATGCTCCAAAGTATGCGGACAACCCGAATCATCAGGGATCTCCGTCGCCACAGCGAAATAACCGTTCACCATCGGCGTCGGCTGGTTCACATATGTAAGCAGCAAGCCTGTTCTGCGAGAACGCCATTTCTTTATGCTGGCAGGCGCATACTCCACATCGAAGCTTGTCTGGAGAGCAAACTGGGAGCTCATTCTGCGTGCTAGGTGGGAAAAAGACCGGATATTGGTGCTGAGATCTTCGCTGATGGCTGTTTTTCACTTCGCACTGTGGTGGTTAACAATCGAAGGGTCCACTGTGTGAGTTTTATTTTTTTCAGCGGGAGGAGATTTGCAGTTGGATTAAAAGAGGTTTAGATAGAGGCGATTATAGTTGTTTTTTTACTTTTTTACTTTAACAGACTTGGCTTGCCACCTGGGTTTTCGTGGGTATGCAGCATAGTTGAAATGGTTGCAAAACGCGGTACGAACTGAAGTACCTGAGCGATGTCCAATCTTATGACACTGAGTTGCTTGATAAAGTCTAACAAGAGATATTCCTTAGGTAGACCTGCTTAAACTCAACAGCTCCATCAAGTAATGGTCCTCTTTGGTGCTTCGTTTTGTTTGATGATATGTAGTCACCCTCCATTAAGCGGTACCCAATCTAAAAGCAATGCTGTCCTTCTCATCCTTTGAATAAACTTCTGACTCTTGATTTCCAATAGATATATAAACTAATTCAAGGAATCCTTGATGGTGGGTCGGTCCAAAACCTGGGGCCGATGACACACCCGTACACCTCACCAACTACACAAACAGCGCGCCTACAACAACAAACACTAGTGAAGCTTTATCCATAACAACAATAGCATACTCGCCGTCGTCGGTCTGAGCAATACAATGTCGCTAAACTATGCACCTTTATCGGTCAAGCGGCGAATGCAAGACGACGACACCTTCCTCCCGCCCCCTCTAAGCGCATACGGTCTTGCACTGCTCAATGAGGGTTCCGAAAAGAGAAGCTTGAGCTCAATGCAGATCGAGGAAAACCCAGCTCTACGAGCGAATTTGAAAAACAACTTGCTGGTGCATTTCAAAGAGGCGCCACGTGAAAGTGAGTCTCAAAACAAGAGCCTGAACTTCGATATCAGTGGGACCAATATCAGCACAAACATGAGCCATAACAATCTCAGCGGTCACAACATGAGTACCAATATGAGCGGAAATATAAGCGGTCACTCTTTCAGCTCCAACATGCACACTGAAGAAAACGAGGACCTCATAGATGCTTCCAATGATCCCAGCGCCAAACTGCTGCATACACATGCCACCACTCCTGGAGGATCACAGGCCACAGGCAGCTTAAGTAGGCTGAACTCAATTGGCTTGACCAAAAGGTCCAGATTCTCTCGCCGGTTTGCCAGACTAGGTCCCCCAAAACGTGCTTCGGACGTACCAGAAGATTCCCTAACGCCTGATCGTGACGATAAACCGGACCTACTAAAGCCTCAGCCCAAGAGCGAGCTACTCAATGCATTCAAAACACCACCCCTGTTACAAAATCAGAACCTGAACGGACGAAGCTCTCCCAGACGGCTCATCTCCAACGAGTCTACTTTCTTTAAATCCCTCGAAAAGCTTCGCAGTCACAGCAACGAAAACAGCCGTCTCAGTCCACCCCTCATTAGCGACGCAGGCAAAAACCATAATATACCCCAGCAAAAGCCCTCACGGTTCCTGGTCTACGTTGACAAGCATCCTCCCAGGCCATCTTCCCGTGGGCCTTCGCACAGGCCATGGAGCCGTCCTCCCCTCATGAGCATTTCACCAGGTAAAATCAATGCTGAGCCAGATGCTGACGTCTTCAGAAAACCAAAATTACCAAAACTCTCTGTTCCAACGCAGCCTCCTCCTCCTCCATCGAAATCATCATTCGCTACACCACCACAGCCGACTCCAGCATCGTTTCCACATCCGAACCCTCCCGAGCCGGTGCATGATCATATTCGTTCGAGTAGTGGTTCTGGTGGCATCATGGAAAACGGAAAGCGGAAGAAAATCATATTTGTTAACAACGCCCAATACGAGAAGCTCGAACTTATAGGCAGAGGCGGGACCTCTAAAGTCTATAAGGTCAGATCGCTTTCGAGCAAAAAAACCTACGCAATTAAAAAAGTTACCTTTGATCAATTCGATGACGCTTGCGTCAAGGGCTTCAAGGGTGAAATTGACTTGCTTGCCAAACTCAGAAACGAACCCAGAGTGGTGCAACTACATGATTACGCCATCAATGACGGCAATATATTCTTGACAATGGAGTGTGGTGAGCTAGACCTTGCTCATGTGTTGCAGCAAAGACAAGCCATCGGCAGTGCCCTCGATTTGAGTTTTGTTCGCTTCCATGCTATGGAGGTTCTCAGGTGCGTGGAGGCCGTTCACAGAGCTGGCATTGTTCACAGTGACTTGAAGCCTGCAAACTTCTTGTTTGTCCGTGGCATCATGAAGATCATTGATTTTGGTATAGCCAATGCCGTGCCAGATCACACTGCAAACATTTACAGAGAATCTCAGATTGGCACTCCCAATTATATGGCACCTGAGGCTCTTGTCGAGGTGAATCACACACTCAATTTAACCAAGGGCGCTAAAGCCAATACGTGGAAAGTTGGTAAGCCATCTGATATTTGGTCCTGTGGCTGTATCATTTACCAAATGATTTACGGTCGTCCACCTTATGCATCATACGCTGGCCAGCAGAGAATTATGGCCATCATGAACCCACAAGTGAAAGTCCACTTTCCAGCTCATGGCCTCGGGGAAGTGCCAGTACCCCGTAGCGCAATCGAATTGATGCAAATGTGCCTTGTGAGGAACCCCCATGAACGGTGGACTGTGCTGGAGTGCCTTACATCGGACTTTTTAAGACCCAAGGCTGTGAGCAATGACTTTGTCAAGGATGTCGTCAAATCCGCTGTGAACTACGGCTACCACAAGCGTCAACAGGGAGACTTGTCTGACGAGAAACTCAATAAGCTCGTGGACAGCATCATTGGCCAGATTGAATCTCTTAATTACGCTTAAAGACTATCGTGAAAACACGACCTAATTACATATAGCATTAGCATAATACATCGCATGAAAGACGTTTTATTGTATTTAAAACCATTGAGTCGTGATTTTGTGGCGGCTGCTCTAGAGTTTGTTAACGTGGTCCCAACTTCTCCAACACCCTTGGGCCCTGCTCCTCCCATTCCTGTTTCGAGATCCACATGTGGTCCTTGTCGGACATGATGTTGGCCAAAACGGCACCTCCAATGAACACCATGTGTCTTCTTCTTGGAGGATCCTCCACTCTGATCTTGAACTTGTCAAATCTGGAAGGATCGCCCTTCAACACTCTCGTCAACCACAACTGCTTCAATTCTCTCTCTAATCTGGATGGCAAACCAGGGTACATAGAAGAACCACCAGACAAGACGATAGCCTTGAAAAGAGACGATCTGATATCGACATCAGCGGCCTGGATGGTGTTGAACAATGTTTCTCCAACACCCGGCTGCTCGACATCGACCAAGCTGGGCTGGAACAAACACTCTGGAGCCTCGAATCTCTCGGAACCCACCTTGATGACACGGCCATCTGGCAACTCGTAGGTCTCGACCAACGTAGTGGTCTCGGTGGCCAACTTGGTGTCCAAAGCCAAATCGCAAGACACGTAACACAATTTCTCTTTTATCTGGCGCACGGTCTCAAAGTCGGCTGTTCTGTTGAAAGCGTAACCTCTACGCAACAACAAGTTGATGAGGTTTCTGGTCACATCTCTACCGGCGACATCCAATCTTCTGGTCAAGTGGTTCAACACGACAGACTCGTAGACTGGGACAATATGGGTCACACCGTCACCGGAGTCAACCACGACACCAGAACTCAAACCCTGGGCGTACAAGGCCAACACGGCTTGAATAGCGACGTAGACACCGCCAAACTGGTACTTTTCGAACATGACATCACACATGGTTTCTCTGTTCTTCAAAGGGTTCATGGGAGGCTCCGTCAAAAGAATCTTCTTGCCTTCCGTGGGCGTCCTCATCTTTTCGTAGAATGCGTAATCCCACAAGTGCTCCATATCCTCCCAATTCTTGATGATACCATTCTCCATGGGGTAGCTGATCTGCAATAGCGAACGGACCTCACTGGCCTCCGAGCCGCACATTATATCTTTTATCTCGATGTTGTCGGGCACCAAGGCATTTCTTTCTTCTGCTCTCAAAATGGGCCTTCCCACAAGCGAAGGGAATGTGTGGTCTGGGAAGTTCGTTCCGGCCCGGCCGATCTTGACGAAACCGGTACCTTGGTCAAGGACTAACGTTAGTAGAAGCCTAGGATAGTTATATTATTGTTGTACATACCAATTGGGGTGCCTTCCATGTTGTGGGTCTAAATGGTGTAGTGTCCGCAATTTCTGGTGATAGTGCCGGCACTGTGTGCAGGTCGCCTTGGCCAAAGCGTTCTCGGACATAGTTTGCAGCCATCGAGAAGAGCCACTATGCGGATGGATTTTGCGGCACGAGGAAGGCAAACGTGAGGTAGGATGTATGGGTTTTGATTTCGGGTTCGATCTTGGTCACCTGTTTCCACTTGAACTGCTCGTCTCCTTCCTTGATTCTGATACCCTTTCCGAATGGGTTGAAGCTCTTCGGCTTGGGTTCAGGCAGGGCAGTATCTTCGCTTTCCACCTCCCTGATATCTCTCTTGATGCCTTGATTTTCCTTCTTTTTGTCTCCCACCCGTGCAAGTCTCCTGCTTTCGATGCCCAGGGTTTTTCTGCCCTGGATGTCCTTGAGTCTCTTTACAACGTCCTGGAGATCCTTCACCATCTCCTTTCTGGCCTCGTAACGACGGCCCTGGATCTCCACCATCTCAATGCTAGTCCATCCGTTTGCTTCAAGCGCTTCAATCGTCTTGTCCACTTGCTCTATGCACGGACTGAAGCAGCAGATACCCACTCTGGAGGTCTGTGATACAACTTTGGGAAGATGCGGAATGGCCGTCCAGGGAGACGGCAAATCAAGAAACACTGAATCGGCGTTGATGCTTCCGTTGAGAGAAAACTTCTCTGGAAGGTCGGAGATTTCAAATCCTCCATTGCACACATCGCGATGAGTAGCTATAGTGTTCACCTGGAGTAGGCCATGCTCGTTCAATTCCTTCTGTGCTTCTAGAAAACGGGGTTCGTGGAACTCGTATGTGAAAAGACGTCCATCTTGAGCCACAGTTCTTGCAAAAGAATGGGTAAAACTTGCCGACCCAGTGCCTGCTTCAATCACCCTAGATCCACTGGTGATGCCGAGTCTCTGGATAATATACGACGAATCCGGCGTGTACACGATCTGGGTTCTATGCGGTAAGGATATCGTCCAGAGCTCGGGACTGGGTTGGAGAAGATGCACGAATCCTTTATCGTTGGCTCCTGCCATCTGAGATCCATATTTCATGCCCACCATTCTGTCGTGCTCAAAGCTGCCAAAACGGGTATTGAGGTACTCGCCCTTGGTCACGTAGAAGGGCTTGATGAGGCCTCGGCTGACAAAGGCAAGCACGAGGTCCCCCTCTTCGATTATGTCCTTGCATTCGTAGAAAGACATGGTCGGTTGCAAGAAATTCTCATCGCAGACTGCACAGGTAGATGTGGAGGTCAATGGAGCCCGATGGGTGCAAGCTAGGAATGTGGGGGAAAAATATTGAGGGAGGGAATTTTAGATAGTTGATTTGATTGAAGAAAGTTCTGCATTTTGTAGGGAAATGCTTCGAAATGAGCGTTTTTGATGTTATTGTTGTGAGGTAAATGGTTGCGAAATGTGAGGCATCGAACGCTGCCCACGAAATAAACAACTGTAAGTGGGAGCTTCTGAATCTTCAAAAGAAGAAAATGGTCAAATAGATAGCTTAAGGAAAAGGGCTTGAACGTATACGTCAACACCATTGTAGATTAGGTATGCGGATAGAGGTACAGAATGAAGTGTGATGTGGATCAAGTTCCCTTTCAATTGCGTAGCTTCGCCTTCATTGACAGGATGAAGTATATTTAGTGTAACTCCGACAAAATCGAAGATGAGAGTCCAACCTATACTTTTGTACGCTATTGCCTCTACGGTGTTTCCTCAGAATGGTTGCAAAATCTCAGTGCGATAGTCACTATGACTGACCCACTACAAGACAAGTAACAACAACAAAGAAACAAAGTTTGCCTCAGCACCTTCATTCCAAAAAGCCATTGACTCACTTAGCCAGTCCACAAACCCCTAAACTTCGGTGAATCTCCAAATCCTACGAGTGGTCGTGTGCGGCCCAACATCAAAGGTCGAAAAAACCGAGCCTAAACTAACAACCTACAGCGTCCAAAGCCAGACTCATAGACCAAGAAAAAAATAATACTGTCATGGCATCGGTTCCCCTGCTGCAGGCTCTGACGCAATCGCAGGAAACGCAGCCTTCCAACGAAGAAGGCTTGTACCTTGAGTCTTATGCATTCACTACAGCTGCTGCCATTGTGGGCTCTGTGGACAGAAAGATCTTTGTTTTGTTGAGAGACGGCAGAAACGTATTTGGCATCTTGAGAACCTTTGACCAATTTGCTAACTTGGTTTTGCAGGACACCCTCGAAAGAATCTACTTGCCTCAGGAAAACGAACAGGCTCCAGCCAGATTCGGAGAGGTCCCAAGAGGTGTTTTCATGGTGAGAGGTGAGAATGTGGTCATGCTCGGAGAGCTAGATATTGATAGAGAGGACGAGCATTTGATGCAGATGCAGCAAATTCCATTTGAAGCTGCTGAGGCTGAGATGAAGGTGAGAAACACCGCTAGGGTGAAGGAGGAGGCCAAGAAGGCCAAGAACTACTTGAGCAGGGGTCTCATCCACGACTTCCTGAAAACAGACTTGTACTAGGTCCGTATCGGACACCAAAAAGAAGCATGAACGGGTTCATTTCTGCTTATGTATTTGACGACGAATATCCTCAATCACGAACATTTCATAACACTTTTTCGTAGCCTACAACTTGGCCACTCTGGCAACGTTGGTCTCAAAGCTCTGGTAGAGCTTCTCGAGAGCAGGGAACTTCTTGACCTCAGCTCTGCCCAATTGACCCAAGTGAGCCTCATCGGGACCATCGGCAATTCTGAGAGTTCTGCTCATGGCATACATACGAGCCAATTCAGTGTCCTGGGAAACACCCTCAGCACCGTACATCTGAATACACCAGTCTAAAATCTGGAGAACTGTTCTGGGTGTGTCGATCTTGGCCATGGCGATCTCCCGCTGAGCCAGCTTAGCGTTTCCAAGGTCGATCTTGTGAGCAGCATTGAGGACCATCAATCTGCATCTCTCAATGGCAATCTTCCATTCAGCAAACGCCACTTGGAACGACTCACGATCCTTCATAGGCTTGCCAAAGATGAGTCTGTTACTGGCACGTTGAGCGACTCTTCCAAGAGCGAACTCTCCGACACCAATGCTTCTCATACAGTGGTGGATTCTGCCGGGTCCAAGTCTTGATTGAATAATTTCAAAACCCATGCCGTCCTTGGCAAGATAGACGTTTTGCATGTCCTCCGCCTGAACCTCGTAGTTATCGAAGAACACCTCACAATGTCCATGTGGGGCGTCATCGTAACCAAACACGTTCAATGGCCTCAAAACCTTTGCCTTTCCAGTAGCAATGGCCTTTTTTGCGTCAATGACCAAAACAGAGTGGTTGTTGTATGGTGTCTTCTTGTCTTCCGAGGTTTTACACATCACAAGCCACACAGCACATCTGGGGTCACCGGCGCCGGATGCAAACCACTTGAAACCGTTCAAAACGAGGTTTCCTCTGGCATTCTTCTTGGCAGAGGTGGCGATGTTCAATGCATTGGACGACGAGGTACCCTTCTCGGTCATCAAGAAAGCCGATCTGATGTCACCATTGAGCAAGGGCTTCAACCACTTCTCCTTCTGGTAAGGCGTGCCGTACCTGGCCAAAATCTCCATGTTTCCTGTGTCAGGAGCATTAGTGTTGGTGGCTTCTGGGGCAACATGAGCTCTACCCAAGTACATAGCCATCAAGCCATACTCCAAGTTCGTGTAGCCACCGCCCTCGGCGTAGTGCTTCGAAAGGAACATGTTCCAAAGTCCGAGCTCCTTGGCCTTCTTCTTCAATTTCTCCGTGATCTCAGGAGTCAGAGCCCATCTCTTAGCAGGATCCTCGGAAAGCTGTTCGTAGTAGATCTTGTCTGCGGGAATGCAGTAGTCGTTGACAAAGTCCTTGGTTTTCTGAATGGCCTCCAAGCCACGAGGGCTCAATTGAGCGAGAAAGATGGCGGGGATGTCTTCTTTGATGGACATTGAAAAATAGGATGGTTTCTGAAATCTGGAGATCCCGACCTATAAGTACTACCCCACCGTTATGGAGATGCAGGCACAGCGAGAGTCCGGGGATTACTCTGGAGATAAAGGCGGGGGCTTACATGTAGTTAGTGAAAATGGCCCGATTGGAAGCCAATTTCGGTAGACGTCGTCTGTGAGACGGGTAATCCGAGATCTTACATGTTGAATCTAGGTTTAGCAGGGACGATCTCGGGGAATCGCCGGAAAATTGGCGGGAAGATACCCGAGGAGGCATTAGCAGGAACGGTATGTGAGGTTTTGTCAAGATGGTTTTGAAGAAATGAGAAAAGTGTTTTGATTTGGGTGGTAGAGTTGCGTCTTGGTTTATTGTGAGTGGTATCGCTCACAAGGGAAATGAGGGTAATCAGTGATTAGTGATACTCTAAGTGAGTGCTCTGAGAAAGATGGAGTGTGTGATTCCATTACATTGCAGGCTCAGGAATACAGCTTAACGTCACCGAGGAGAAATGACTTCAAGTTGCCGAGCTCCTTTGGGCACCTTGACTGCAAGATGGGGAATTGCGATATAATGGGATGATGTCAAGCGTAACGCATGGGAACTCCATCGACTCCTCCCCGCTGAGCTTCAAATGTCCTTTAAGCGAAAGTTAACCACTGCTTATGTCGTGGATTTTTGAAATCTAATGTCATTCACTGTAACACCGCGTTTTGCAACCATTCGATCTGGTGCCATTTGGTATAGGGTCCGTGCACTCTCAAGATAACGAATCGAATCTCAGCAGAGACATCTTACTACTTTATTAATTCAAGTTGATTTATGTCAGATCAAATCAATCTAGTGTTGTCCCTAGGTCGTCGTTGTCTTCATACTGTGAGCTTCTTTCAGTACTGTGAGCAAACATGCGGTCACCCCAACCACCCAAGGCCAACCACGGAGAAGTAAACCATTAATCCATAAACTCACATCACAAAGAAAAATCAATAACCCTTTATTTCAATGCCGTGTCTCTCACTAACTCCAAATACCAGCTCCTCTTGCAACCTTCCCTGTGTCTGACCTGCACACGCAACAACAGTCTTTCTCAACTTTGGCCACTGTCTACTACACCACCATCATGGCTGAATTCGAATCTGACGTCCCCAAAATCCCAGACTATACGCTTCTGGAAAAGCAATTCCTAATCTCCAATGGCGCTAGTAACGCCTCCACCCTTGTGGACGAGATCCTCGCCGCCGTCAAGGAAAACAACATGGCCCCATACTACAAGTACTTGACGACAGAGTTGCCACAGCATTTCAAATTGGACAAGCTGCTTCTTGCCTCCATTAAATCCGTGAATGAGGAAAAGATCCTGGCTCTCAAGAAAGACGTTCAGGAAGCGGAGAGCGAGGAAGAGACTGAAATCGACCTTGTGGGTAGCTACACCAAGCTCGCTGAGTATTACACAGAAATCATCGACAGACAAAACGCCACCACGACATACAACAAGTTGCTTGGGTTCACGCAAAGCACCGGCTCCAAGATTGACATTTTGTTGACGTTGGCCCGTTTGGACTTCTTCTTCAACGACTTTGTCGCTGTGTCCAAGACGTTGAACGAAGTCGAGACCTGGATCGAGAAGGGCGGTGACTGGGAGCGCAGAAACAGAACGAAAACATACAGAGGTATTTACCACTTGGCCACAAGAAACTTCTCCGAGGCCGCAAAGTTGTTGATCGACTCCTTAGCAACCTTCACCTCCACTGAGTTGTGCTCGTACGACCAGATCGCTCAGTACGCCATCATTGCCGGTGTCTTCTCCTTGGACAGAGTGGACTTGAAGTCCAAGATTGTCGACTCGCCCGAGATCTTGTCGATCTACTCCAGCGCCAAGCACTTGGAGCCTCTCGTGAGCTTGACCAACTCCTTGTACACCTGCCAGTACAACTACTTCTTCCAGTACCTCTTGGAAACCTACGACGAGTTGTTGTTGACCAACAAGTATCTCAAGATCCACGCCAACTACTTCATGAGAGAAATGCGCTGCAAGGCGTACGCACAGCTATTGGAGTCGTACAAGTCGTTATCATTGAAGTCCATGGCCCGCAACTTCAGCGTGAGCGAGGAGTTCTTGGACGCCGACTTGTGCAAATTCATCCCCAACAACAAGTTGAACTGTTACATTGACAAAGTGAACGGTATCATCGAAACGAACAGACCTGACAACAAGAATAGTCAGTATCACCAGTTGATCAAGCAGGGCGATGGCTTGTTGACGAAGTTGCAGAAGTACGGTGCTGCTGTCAAGTTGAGTGGAGCAGAGAGAGTAGCATAATGATATAGAACGAGAGCAATATTGGAATTGGCGTAGAGAACTTTCACAGTGCCAAGGCTGTCTTCGGAGGTACACTCCGAAATTCATATGAGGGTGGAACATTCTCCAGTAAAACGGTGCAAATTCAAGGGATTTTGAGTAGGCAAGCAAAATCTGAGGTTTCGGTGATTCTACTATGAGTCAATCCCACTGACTCATACCAAAAGGATCAGTCATTTGAAAACGGAAGTGCATGTGGCAGCCAGACCCTGGAGCACGTCAATTCGCAGCCAACAAAAGCCCCAGGGTGTTTGAATCCACAGTTTTGATCAGCATGATTTTGCTTAAAGCGTAGTATTAATAGCTTCCGTTTCACAAAACAAGGTATATTTAACTCTTTTTTCGACCAAATCACCCCTCTTTAAGTATCACGTTCTGCGCTAAAACCTGCTCCTGGTACCCCGGTTTTCGCAACCACCGTCCACTAGGAACCTACACCCCATTGCTAACGCCACCGAATTTCAAAAACCAACCCAAAAGTGAGTCACTTTTTGCCACCTCGATCTTGACGAATTATTTAAACAACCCATTTCACCCAAACCAGGTGGTCACGTTACTCTCTTGTGCGCCACCATCTGTCTGCGACTCCCACTTCGTCTCACCTTATCTCACTACCACACCCCCAAGAATGAGTTCTAGAAGACGCATGGAAAAAGACGTAATGGACCTCATGATGTCCGACCACGAAGTCAACCTCATCGAGGACCTGATGCAGCAGTTTTTTGTCATCTTCAAGGGCCCCAAGGATACCCCATACGCTGGTGGTACATGGAAGGTCAGGGTGGAGTTGCCTGACCAGTATCCGTTGAAACTGCCTTCGATCGGCTTCGTCAACCGTATCTACCATCCTAACATCGACGAATGTTCAGGATCGGTGTGTCTTGACGTGATAAACCAGACGTGGTCGCCGATGTTCGGGCTCTTGAACATCTTTGAGAACTTCTTGCCCCACTTGTTGCGGTACGCCAACCCCAGCGACCCGCTCAACCTGGAGGCGTCGAACTTGATGAACAAGGATGAGTCTCGTTACACAGACATGGTGAAAAAGTACGTGCAGCAGTATGCCCTGGAGGATCTTCTGACCAAGGAGGGGGAGAACTCCGAGGAGGAGAACGAAGACGACGAGTTGAGCGATGTTGGCAGCTTGTCGGACGACGACGACTGAGGTCGGTGACGACTCAGGCGTCCGCCGTGACCTACGGTATGCATAGGACTGGTTCCACATAGAATTTGCACTTTATAGCAATCATACGCATGAGGATTTGTAGGGTTTGGAGGAGAAGTGTTGGGGAAGGGGTGAGGATGAATAGAGTACTGGTAGGCTGGAGCGAAGGGATGTGAGAGCTGGAGGTTGATTTAAGGACTGGGCTACAGTGGATGATATTTAGGCCTTTGATGAAGGAGCCTGAAGGAAAGGCACACCATATTGGGTCAACAGCTATACTTCTGGCCTTTAGGTGATGAATGTGAATCTGATCACGGATTCGACAGAGAAATGGTTGTGAGGACAGGCTCTTTTGCAAGGGCCCCAGATAGTACTCTAGCTGTGGGTTTCTGACAAGTTCCGATTACATTGAAACGCATGTGACGACCTTTGCTGGCTTTGGAAGAAATCTGAATACTACCACTGAAATTTCATGGCTCTGTGAATTACACCGAGAATACATCTATCCTGCTGGTCTGTATCAGCCTACCCATACCAGCGCAAGAAGTACTATCGTCTTTAGGTCTCGAAGATAGCAAAAAGAGGGAAACGGTAATGTCTATTTAGTCACGAAATGATTGCAATCACAAACTTGAGACCACCAGACTTTTGATCCATTTTACTAGCTGCTAGTCTACGTTACCGGCTGCTGGGTACCGCTAACGAATGGCTGCGAAAAGACTCAGCCGCACCCAATAGCGCTAATTCCCAGAATACTCCAGGTATACTTCAAGGAATTTCATCAACTTTGCCGTTTACCATTTCCCTCTAAGCTTTTAGTGCCATCTAGTGGCTCGCTACGTAGATAGTCGGACAATAGGCACGAGTGAATGTGCACAGCCCAAACTGCACCATCCCCCACCGTATCACCAGTAGAATCACCGTCTGAACTCTTTGATGTCTGGAGTCAACCAACAGACAACAAGTAGTCCTTAAATTCTTTTCAAAGTCACATTCTCCTCTACACTTTCACCCATTCTTGATCTTGCTTCTTGATTTAGCGCCCAGGCTGCGTTTCGTACATGCCTGTCAGATCACACGGAAAGCAGTGAACTCACAGCACAGTCTACCCCAGAAAAACCCACTCCACTGAAAAATCACAATTCATCTCCACCCTACCTTCCCACCGTTTGCACCCAACACCGCCACCTACCCCAAAATAACAAACAACCTCAATAACACTAAAAGTGCTTCCATCGCTCATCCACCACTTCAACCCAGCCAACAATGGCTGTCTATCTCCGTCCGAGGTGGTTATACCCGTTTTGTGGAGAGTGCGCTAGCACCCGCTAGGCTCGAAATACCGAAAAGGCTCGGCTACGCAGGCCTCGCAGGCATTGCAGGCGGGGTGCACTCCTTTGCTACTTAACCACAAGAAGCCCATTCTTTAGCCATGGCCCTGATCAGACGCTTTTCCTCCATGATCCAGGACACCTTGAAAAACAAAAACTTGTTCCGCACCCAGGGCTACATCAATGGCCAGTGGGTGCTGCTGGACTCGACAATTGACGTCTACGACCCCGGTTTGGTTCCTAAGCCTGAGGCCAAGATCGCACAGGTGAGCTCTTTTGCAACCAGCGACTACGAAAAAGCCATTGAGGCCGCCCATGAGTCGTTCAAGTCTTTCAGAAAGACCAGCGGCAGAGAGAGGGCCGGCTTGCTTGCGAAAATGCACAAGTTGATGATGGACAACCAGGACGACTTGGCTAAGCTTATCGTGGTGGAAAACGGCAAGCCATACGCCGATGCCTTTGGCGAGGTGGCCTACGCTGCTTCTTTCTTCCAGTGGTTCAGTGAAGAGGCTGCCCACGTCACGGGCGACATTATCCCGCTGGCCAACGCGTCCAACAGAATCTTGTCTATCCGTCAGCCTATCGGTGTGTGCGGCATCATCACTCCATGGAACTTCCCAGCCGCCATGATCACCAGAAAATTGGCTGCGGCCGCCTGCGTGGGCTGTACTACCGTGATCAAGCCTGCTTCTGAAACACCATTGACCGCTTTGGCGTTGGCCCACTTGCTGGAGGAAGCTGGCTTCCCTAAAGGTGTGGTTAATGTGCTCACCTCCAAGAGCTCTTCTGCTGCTGGAAAGGCCATTTGTGAGCACCCCTTGGTGAAGAAGGTGACCTTCACGGGTTCTACTGGTGTTGGTAAGGTGTTGATGCAGCAGGCGGCTTCCACGTTGAAGAAGTGCTCGTTTGAGTTGGGCGGAAACGCTCCATTTATTGTATTCGACGATGTCGATCTCGACAAGGCCATCCAGGGCGTTCTTGCCTCCAAGTTCAGAAGCTCCGGCCAGACGTGTATCTGCGCCAACCGTGTCTTTGTTCACGAGAACATCTACGATGAGTTTGCCAAGCGTCTTATTGCCAAGTTGAAGGAGGTTGTCACCTTGGGTTACGGTTTGGACAAGGGCGTCACCCACGGACCCGTCATTAACCCCAAGTCCTTGGAGAAGGTACAGGAGCACATCAAGAACGCCACCGACCATGGTGCCAAGCTTTTGCACGGTGGTGAGGTCAGACCTGACCTTGGTGACTACTACCATGAGCTCACAGTTTTGGGCGATGTCACCAAGGAAATGGAGATTTTCAACGACGAGACGTTCGGTCCTGTTTGTCCCTTGATTAAGTTCAAGACCGACGAGGAGGTGCTCGAATTGGCAAACGACACTGAGGTTGGTTTGTCTGGATACTTCTACACCAACGACGTGAGCCGTGTGTTCAGAATCGGTGAAGGTTTGGAGGTTGGCATGATTGGTGTCAACACAGGTGCCATCTCAGAAGCTGCTCTTCCTTTCGGTGGTATCAAGGAGTCTGGTTTCGGCAGAGAAGGCTCCAAGTACGGTATTGAGGATTACACCATCGTGAAGTCGATGGTTGTCGGAGGTATTTAGATACATCTATGCATAGACCTTAACAGATGTAATGAGTCTACACTTTGGTACTTTTTCCTTCTTATACTATACATCTAAGCACTGGCCGGAGCTAGTACTGGGGACCCATTGAATCACCGTAACCAGGTGTACCGTTGTAGCCTGGGCTCTGGCTGTAGGTCTGGTCGTTAAAGCCGGGGCTGCCACTGGCAGCACTCATGTTGAGAGAAACGTTGCCGAATCCATCGTTACCCAAGGGGATATCCATAGCGACATCTGCGGGTAGTTCTCCTCCAAGAGAGGTGGAAAGGTCTGGGGGAAGGTCGTCCACGTATGCTTCCGAGAAGTCGTCAAGAGGTTCTTCGGCATCAACTTCCATGGCTGCTTCGTTTGCACTCTCCTCCAACACACGCTGCTCTTCTTCTTTACGGCGCTGTTCCTCCTCCTCTCTTTTTCTTTCCTCTGCTTTAACAGCGTAGATGGAGCTATCGAAGCCTGGAACATCCTGCATTTTCTTTACATCCACAGGCAACTTGACACTTCTAGAAATCCTGTACAGCTCGTTGTTGAAGCTGATGTTCGTGTCTGGGAACAAAACTGTGTAGTATTGCTTTAATTCTTCGCTGTATTGCGACGTCACTTCCTTCTTCTGATTAAGTTCATCATCTAGCCTGAGGTTGAACAGCGAGATCTTTTCATCATTGTCTTCGTTTCTGGTACCCTTTTGGCTATTCAATTCGTCGACCTCTTTGCGAAGTCTGTTTATCGTCTCATCATTGATCCAGTCTTTCTCTGATATACGCAGAAGGTCTCTATCCTCACCAACTATACAGCCTTTCATTGTGGAGTAGTTATCCACAAGTTGCAGGGCAAAGATGGATTTATATGTCAACGAACGAAGTCCTCCTTCGACGGTATTACCATTTATGACAGATGAAGCAAAGCCCAAAGGAGCCACCTTTTCATTTGGTTCCTTATATCTTGGAGGCTTGATCACCGATATAGCGGGATTTTGCGCGCTCATGGCCGCCTTTGGTGCAGTTCTTTTGACCATTTTGGATTGAATATTAAGTAGCGCTGTTTTGAAAAAGAGTAGGTATTCTCACGCATCCTATATGCACAATTCTCACCATGATTCTCTAGGCTATTTTGCAGCCACTACAATTAACGTGTAAGTGTCCGTATAATCTCATTACATTGTTCCCTCCATCAACGATTTCTCAATACCATCGATGAGACCGTCGATATCTTCCACACGAAGACCACAGCTGAGGCTGATAAGCTTTCTGTACTTGTTCATCTTCGAGTTGATAGCCCACTCCTTCACTCCCTGGGCAACCTGATTCACCAAGTCATTACGCCTGAGCTGTTCTTGGGTAAGCTCCAATGCAAGTTGCCAACGATCGCTGGAAGCATCATCGTCTGACGTTGGTGTGTTCATTCCCTTCTCTTTCTCTTCCACGGTGTTTGCCAATTCATAGGCCTGTACTTTCTCAAACAGACACAAGAGCTGCTGCTCTTTATTCAGAAGTTCCGTTTTGAAACCATCAACCTCTTGGTCGACGAGTTGCTTGGCTTCTTCATAGTCCGTGATATCGTCGAAACCATTTCTCGACAAAACGGCCTTGACTTTCTTGAGGCCGGCAGAATCCGCTTCTTTCTTTGCGATAAGCTGTTCTTCAATGTCCTGTTCGTTTTTGCTTAACCCGCTAAGCTCCTTACGATACGAATCTGTGAGAAGTGTCACCATGCCATGCATCATTGTTGATGCGTCACTAACGGGAAGCTTCACGTCAAGGTCACCCTCCTCGTTAGCGTTTTGCTCAGACTTGCCATCAAACATGGCAGAGCGTGGCACAAAAGATTTGCCAGGAGTGCCCCTCGCGAGAGGAGAGTTCTCAACAGTTGCTTCCGAAATCACACCTAGAACATTCTGCTTACCAGCAGAGTTCGGGCTAATACCGGTCTGCTTAGGTGTGGAAATCGCCTCATAGTTAACTTTCGTTGGGTCGTCGGTGAATACGTTCTCTTTGTTGTCGTCGACAGTACCAGCCTGTCCCTCCATGAGCATTCTCAACTGTTCTTT